AAAAAAAAAAAAAAGACCCCTATTCATCCTTTGTTATTTACTTATTTTTACATTGTATTTGCCCAGGCTGATCTCCAACTCCTGGGTTCAAGCAATCCTCTCACCTGTACTTCCCTTCTAATCAGTAGCCAGGACTACAGTCATGCCACCATACATGGCTAAGTTTTTTATTTTTTGTAAAGACAAGTTCTCTCTATGTTGCTGAGACTGGTCTCAAACTCCTGTCTTCAAGTGATCCTCCCACTTGGCTTCTCAAAATTCTGGGGTTACAGGTGAACCACCATGACCAGCCTTGATTGAAGTCTTTTTCTCTATTATAATCCCTTCAGCCCTTCCAATTAACCCACAGGTTGTAATAATTATGTCTGCCTTAGAAATTTAACATTGAGCTCAGAGAAATGTACAACCTGCCCCATGATTTGTTCTTGAAGAATCTTAACATAGAATATAATTCTGTCAGCCTGTGCAGTGAGGAATGGGGAGTTCAAGGTAATATTTATTCTACAAATTCTTGAGTATCATATGCCAGGCACTGTTCAGGGTCCAAGAGATATAAACATTTATCACAACAGAGAATAGGCTGGGCACAGTGGCTAACACCTGTAATCCTAGCACTCTGGAAGCTGAGGTGGGAGAACTGCTTGAGCTCAGGAGTTTGAGACAACCCTGAGCAAAAGTAAGACCCCCCATCTCTACTAAAAATAGAAAAAAATAGCTAGGCATTAAAGCAAATGCCTGTAGTCCCAACTACTCAAGAGGCCGAGGCAGGGAGATCACTTTAGTCCAGGAGTTTGAGGTTGCAATGAGCTAGGCTAATGCCACAGTACTCTAGCCTGGGTGACAGAGTGAGACTCTGTCTCAAAAACAAACAAACAAAAACCAGACAGATGACAGGGTGGTGCCTGTGGCTCAGTGGGTAGGGCGCCGGCCCCATATACCAAGGATGGCAGGTTCAAACCTGGCCCTGGCCAAACAGCAACAACAAAAATAGCTGGGCCTTGTGGCAGCTGCCTGTAGTCCCAGCTACTCAGGAGGCTGAGGCAAGAGAATCACCTAAGCCCAAGAGCTTAAGGTTGCTGTGAGCTGTGACACCACTGCACTCTGAGGGCAACAAAATAAGTCTCTGTCTCTTAAAAACAAACAAACAAAAACAGACAGATGATAGCAAAAGGGAGCCAGGCACAGTGGAACTGCCTGTAGTCCCAGGTACTTTGAAGCTGAAGTGGGAGGTTGCTTGAACCTAGGAGTTCATGACCAGCCTGGGCAACATAGCCAGACCCCAGGCACTGTTTGAGCTCAGGAGTTTGGGACCAGCCTGAGCAAGAGTGAGACCCCATCTCTACTAAAAAGTGGGGAATGTGAGATTTAGCCATGTGGCACCTGGGAGAAGAACCTGTCAGACTGAGAAAACCAGCCCATGGAAATCCCTGAAATGTGTCTGGCATGCTAAGGAACAGCCCACAGTCAGTGTGGCTTCCCTTCCTACATATCCATATCCTTGGGAGATGGAACAGCCAAACTCTTTATCACTCACTTGGACTCTTGACTCTGGAACCCCAGTTTCTTCAGCAAGTTGTTCTCTGCACTCAATCCCAGGGTAACGGTCTTTTGCAAAAGCCTGGATGAGAGTGTGTAACTGTGTGGGACTGAAGGAGGTGCGACACTGTCTGGTTTCTCTTCCTAGGCGAGAAAAAAAGACTGAAGGCTCAAGGAACATTCCAAAGGTCAGTTTACACATCCAAGCCTGGAACTCCATCTGTCTCCATCTAATTTGGAACCCACCAACGTTTCCTAAGAGGACCTTGTCCCAGACTCATTCCAGGCAGAAGGTCTCAGAGGAGACATAAAATAAACTTGGGCTTCTGGATTCCAGCAGAAAGTGAGGGGGGAAAACTCAGATAACCCAAGAACAGGGCAGAAAAGAACTTCCAGGGCCACATTGAACCCTTTGCTGCCAGAAGACTAAATAAAAAGTCCTCAAGGAGGGGCAGTATCCATAGCTCATTGGGTAGGGTGCCAGTCACATACACCAAAGTTGGTGGGTTTGAACCCAGCCCAGGCCAGCTAAAATAACAATGACAATTGCAACAAAAATATAGCCAGGCGTTGGGGCAGGCGCCTGTAGTTCCAGCTACCTGGGAGGCCAAGGCAAGAGAATCGCTTAAGCCCAAGAGTTTAAGGTTGCTGTGAAATGAAAAGTCCTCAAGAAGGAAACATTCTTTTCTTTTTTTCTTTTCTTTTCTTTTTTTGAGACAGAGTCTCACTTTGTCATCATCAATAGACTGCTATGGCGTCATAACTCACAGGAACCTCAAACTCTTGGGCTCAAGATTCTCTTGCCTTAGCCTCCCAAGTAGCTGGGACTACAGATGCCCGCCACAATGACTGGCTATTTTTAGAGATGGGGTCTTGCTTGAAGAGATGGTATCAAACCTGTGAGCTCAGGCAATCCACCCACCTAGGCCTCCCAAGTGCTAGGATTACAGGCATGAGCTACTGCACCCAGCTGAAACATTCTTTTTTTAATAGAGTAGCAGTGGGCTCCACTACTGAGAGCCTGAGAGGCTTCTGTTCTGGGAAAAGAGTTACTTTGCTTCTCTTCTGCAGGACAAATTTGTCCTTGGCTTTGGCTCGATTCTAAAGTCTCCTCAAGTTCTGTTTTCTTCTCTGATTTGCGCCTGGCTCTTCGATTCTGAAACCAAATCTAAATAAGAAAAAGAAAATAAGATAATACATTGACATCATTTCTGTTCCATCACTCCCTCTTTTTTTTTTTCAAAGTACATGAGCAATTCTTTAAAAAAAAAAAAAATTTTTTTTTTTTTTTTGAGATGGTGTCTAATTCTGTAACCCAGGCTACAGCATGGTGGTGCAATCATAGCTTACTGCATCCTTGAACTTTTGGATTCAAGTGACCCTCCCACCTGGGTGATTCTTATTAAACCTAAGCCCAAGATTATTATTAGCTTCTGTCTCATGCTACCATGTCCCAAGTTTAGGTCAAAGCTTGGCATCTAGCCCCTTCACAATCTGGTCCCAATAGGATTTTCTCTAATTATTATTTTTTTAATTGACAGATAGTTGCTACAATTACTATGCATTTAAAAACCGGCTCAAGGGCCAGGTGTATTGGCTCATGCCATTAATCCTCGCACTCTGGGAGGCCAAGACCAGTGGATTACTTGAGACCAGCCTGAGCAAGAGTGAGACCTCGTCTCTACTCAGTAGAAAAATTAGTGAGGCGTTGTGGTGGGTTCCTGTAGTCCCAAGCACTTAGGAGGTCGAAGCAGGAGGATCACTTGAGCCCAGGGGTCTGAGATTGCTGTGGGCTATGATACCACAGCACTCTACTCAGGGCAACACAGTGAGACTCTGTCCTTTATCTCAAAAAAAAAAAAAAAAAAGCTCAAGCGCTCAAGCATTTCCTCCCCTTTTAAGGTACATCTACACCAGCGGTTCTCAACCTGTGGGTCACCATCCCTTTGGGGGATCCTTTCACAGGGGTCGCCTAAATACATCCTGCACATCAAATATTTACATTATGATTCATAATAGTAGGAAAATTACAGTTATGAAGTAGCAACAAAAATAATTTTATGGTTGGGGTTATCACAACGTGAGGAACTGTATTAAAGGGTGACAGCATTAGGGAGGTTGAGAACCACTGACCTGCACGCTTCCTCCCACCCTTATGAGCTTGGTATCAAAGTAAGGCTATTTTCATAGTAAGGCATATATTCAAGGTAAGGCTAAGAGCAACATATTTACAAGTTTATTCTGCATGCAGTTGAGATAATCAACACATAGCCCTTGGTAAACTGGTACATGATAATGTGCTCAAATAATAGTTTCCCCTCCTTCCTTTCTATTTCTAATCTTGGAGAATTTGTAGCTTGCCTGGATTCTTGACTCATCAATGTTAGTTTCTAAAGCAAGTTTTTCTTTGGTGGCAGAATCCAGATAAGGTTCTTGATTGAAGGTATTGATGAGGATTTTCAACTGATCATCTGTGAATTTGGTGCGACTGCGCCTATGATTTGTTGCTCTGGTTTCTGTAGAAAGATCAGGAGAAACAAAGCATTTAATAGGCTGGTTTGTATATTCAAACTTTTATTTAATTTATTTTTAACTTTTTTTTTTGAGACAGAGTCTCAGGCTGTTTCCCTGGGTAGGCTGCCATGGTGTCATAGCTCACAGCAACCTCCAACCCTTGGGCTCAAGCAATCCTCTTGCCTCAGTTTTTCTATTTTTAGTAGAGATGGGGGGGGGTCTTGTTTTTGCTCAGGCTGGTCTTGAACTCATGAGCTCAAGCAATCCACCTGCCTCCGCCTCCCATGTACTAGGATTACAGGCGTGAACCCCTGCACCTGGCTGATTTTTCAGCTTCTGATTTAAAGGCCATGACTGGGAAGTCTGGCTCTTTGGCTTTGAAGAACCATGGAAGACTGATGTGTTCTGTTCGTCTACATTAGAAACAATCTGAGTCTAGAAAATGCATGTAATATTTTATTACAGTGATGAACCCCCATAAGAGTTTGTGATACAGGTACCACTAACTGCCTTTCCTTTTTCGTCATCAAAGTTCCTTGGTATATATTTTTTGTGTGTTGACCTCCATTGCTTAATAAATAATAGGCAAACAGTGTCAGTTTCTCAGATATATATTAAAAAACCTACATGTAGGCTGCGCACAGTGTCTCACACCTGTAATACTAACACTGGGAGGCTGAGGCTGGAGGATTGCTTAAGCCCAGGAGTTTGAGGTTGCTGAAAGTTAGGCTGCTGCCATGGTACTCTAGCCTAGGGAACAGAGTGAGAATCTATTAAAAACAAAAAACAGGGCCAGGTGAGGTGAGTCACACCTGCACACCTATAATTCTAGCACTCTGGGAGGCTTAGGTAGATGGATTGCCTGAGATCACAGGTTCAAGACCAGCCTGAGCCAGAGCAAGACCTTGTCTCTAAAAATAGCTGGGCATTATGGCAGGCACCCGTAGTCTCAGCTGCTCAGAAGGCTGAGGCAAGAGAATTGTTTTGGC